ACTTCCACTGCACGGGTCGGTAACGCTCACTTGTGCGTAAATTGGATTATAGCGAAGGAAACCCGTTTTTAGCCTATACCAATGTTCTCTTGTACACGACAGTTGGACCGTCGAGAAGTCTACCGTATGCCCCAGAGCAGGCTGCAAGCGAGCGCGGTGACTTGCGTCTGGATTAGATTATAGTGAGAGTAAACATGCGTTGCATCTGCCGCCGTCTCTCCCCCTCTGTTATGACCAAGTCAAGAAGAGCGGAGGTGGGAGAGGGCGCTAGGGGCTGATGCGGCCAGAGCAGCCAAACTGACTTGGACCCCCCACGCAGTAGGAGGGTCACAAGGGTCATTGCAGCCTGTCAGCCAATCCACACAGACACACACTTGGCTGAGCTCGCATTCCAAGTTAGAAATCTCGAAAACAACTATCCCGAAATGAATTTGTACGTGATTGGTGTTTCTAGCGGTAGCTAATTCTATCTTATATGAGCTAATTTGTCATCCTTTTTCCCTGGTTTCACTTTGAAGACGAGGATTTCATGCTTCAGTCTCTTCCAGCTGCCGTCCGTCCACGGGTGCCTTGTCGGACAGCTGATTAGGAGATCAGTGCGGCGTACCGTCTCAGTTTGGTTCGTTCCTTACACGTAAATGTTTCAAACACAACACTGCAACATAGGACCAGTCAACATCGACAGCAGCCTAAAAACTTGAGTCACTAGTTTTGGCGGCTTGATCTCATATCGCCCCTAGTAGATTACCTTAGGGTTTACATTTCACAAAATAACAACGAAAGGAAGTGACTTAGCGGCATCTACCTTGTTTCCGCCGTGCTATTTTTTGAAGAAGTTCGTACGTTGCTGTCGCCAGATTGCCGCAGGAATTTTTGCATGTTCTTGCCTAACGCCAACTTTTGCTTTGGTTAAACTGAAAATAACTATTGAATGCAAGTTGTGGAATAATCTATTCGTTACATTTTTGTAAATGGAGATCGATCGCCCAGCTTTTGCTAATGCCTTTCAACTGCCCTTTCCTTTCAGTTGACTGGTGTCCACCCTGCTATGTTTGGCTCTTCTCGCGCATTTGCCGAATTAGGGCCTGACTTTCAGTCTCGACGAGCAGAAGATTCATTCCTCCCCAGCAGACGTACCTGTGTCTCGACGTCCATCTTCGAGAGCTACGACCGGATTAAGAATAATCAACCACCTTCCCCTCCGCCGTTGCCCTCGTGGAGCGAACATTCCTGTAAATCGTCGGAGCTATCTTCACGATTGTCACCTCAGTCGGTGGAGTGTACTAAAAACAGCGTAACAAGGTCAAGCACCACCAGCGATTCCCTTTCTACCATCCTAAAACGCGACCAAGAGATAAGAGTCTGGCAGGAGACTCACTCCCTACGACGAAATTTCACCCCGCCACCCTCCACTTCGCACCATCGTCCTTATCCCCACGAACAACGCAGTCTTCGAAATTCGACGTCTTCCCTGGAGGCGAATCGACATTCTGTGCAGTCCTTGCGCCACCACTCCCAACCTCAACTCCTTCATTACCCCCAACACCATCCCCATACTGGACTGCATTTAGACTCGCAACACCACCACCACCAACAACAACAACGTAAGGAAACATTTAGCGGCAGCTGGATTGGTAGTCATCGCAGTGATTCGTCTGGCCCTAGTCACTCTCCAAAGCCCCCTGCCTATAACTCTTCCTGCTCCCTTTCAACCGATAATATTGAGAATGTTCAGGCGGCCCTTCGGAGACATCGCGATCATCTGCGCGCTCAACTCGACCTTACTCTGGGCTCGACTTCGGTTGTCACCACCACCGCCACAGGTTCCGCCGGATTAACGGCCAAGGGTCGGTTGTCGACGTCATCTGTGCATCAGTCAGGCGACAGGATTCTGGAGCAGGCACGGTTTCGGAACGATGTAGTCCCTAACGGAGGTCTGCCTCTCCTAGGCCCCTATTCACGAGATATTTTTGTCCCACGTCATGGTACGTCATCGCACTTTCATTAGCAGAATTTTGGCTTGAGTATTCTCTAAGCAGTACAAATAATTAGAAATGAAAGAGCCTTTTAAACGCTTCTTGAAGCTTGTGGCAAGGCTGTGCTTACTGTACTTTGCTCGGTTTAGAACATTCTAATGGTTATGAATTGTGCTCAAAGGAATCCTGTAAGGTTTTATTGTTGTCTCTTTAGCCAATGAATATGTGCCTGCTCTAGCGGGGCTTCAGCGTACATTTCATGCCAAAATTAGGTTTTGACAGGAAAATAATCATATTTGTTACTTCGTGTTCTCCTTGGTGACACAGATGTCTTGAGATTTCGAACGCGAAAGATCTCGCCACATTGAATCAGTTTAGCGTCTCAGTAAGTTTCAGATCAACCGAGAAATGAGCATATTAGTTTTTAGACCTTCAGTTGTGATTTGCTTATAAAATTTCGATTCGGTCGAAATTCGAAATAAATGAAAGTTGTAGTTAAGCATGTAGGCGGAGAAGTTTATGCGGGGTGTTGATATTTAGGGACGTTCGTGATTTCCTAACGTCCACGCCACCCTTTAATGACGGAAAGCGTAGGTCTTGTGCTTGCAGGATGGCTGCATGGGGCTTCCTACAACTCACAGCGTTGGTCACGGCCATATGTCAAGCCCGGCTACATTTAATCTCCCAAAAGTCGTCCTCAAAACAACAAAATGCACTGTTTCTACCACCCTGACGACCACTCCGAGACTTTGAACTGTGCTTCATTGTCCTGTATATCAATCGAATTTAACAACTTGGTCCGCTCTCATTTGCAGGCTTTTTTTGTTGACAGCGCTAAAGGCATTTTTTGTGCCTAATTTGGGTTTGTATACTAGATAATCTTCACTGACAACTCCCTCAGCGACTTTTACGCAATGTTTATCTTTTCTTGTCTTTCAGCATCCTCGTCTTAATTCCCGTCCCCACCCTGTTGTCCTCGTCCTCGTCTCCACCTGCCCCCAAAAGTAGTCGGGCTCGCAGCGTTCTAAGACAAGCAACCCTCTCAAGCCGGATCTGACTCCCTCCTATATATATATATATATATATATATATATATATATA